GTTTTTGTTTATTTTCTTTCTGCTGCTCCCTGTGTTAGGGGTCACCACAGCGAACTAAGTCACAAGAAGACTTGGCAGTTATTTTTTACGCCGGATACCCTTCCTGACGCAACCACGGACCACTGAGCAACCACAGCCCTCTGTGTGGAGCAGAGAGCTGATATCTAGGACACCCGGAGGAGCAGATGGTGGGGGTTAAGGGCCTTACTCAAGGGCCCAGAGTGGGACGAATGAGGGTGGGGGCAGGTGTGGGTGCTTCACCTATCCCACCCACATTTTTTAATGTTGTCGGTACCTGGGCTTGAATCGGCGATCTTCCGATCACAGGCCCACCTTCTCTAACCTCTGCGCCACCACTCCCTCCCTGTTTTGTTGTCTGTACTTTTTCTGTTCTGTCTGGAACAGGTCTCTCCTGTAAATGAGTCCCCGTGGCTCAATGAGACTAGCCTGTATAAATAAAGGTTGAATGAATGAAAAATTTCCCCCACTCGGGCTCTTGGGCAGGCCGTTAACCCCCACCATCTGCTCCTCTGGGTGTGCTAGATAGCAACTCTCTGCTCCACACAGAGGGCTGTGGTAGTTCAGTTGTTGCATCAAGAAGGGCACCCAGTGTAAAAACAATTGCCAAGTCTTCGTGCAAATTAGTTTGCTGTGGAGACCCCCGAAGAAGGGAGCAGCCAAAAGGAAAAGAAAATGATATATAATTAAATAAATTATTTATAAAATATATGTTATAAAAGAAAGTGGTGCAATTGTTAGAGGTGCCACCTCTCAGCGTGAAGATCACTGGTTCAAATCCCAGGCCAGGGGCCTTTCTGGGTAGAGTTTGCATGTTTTCTCCATGCTGCGTGGGTTTTCTCGGGGTACTCCAGTTTCCACCCAAATAGGAAAAACATGAATGTTAGACCGATTGGTAACTCTATGTTACGATATTTTTGGACTGGGCCTATGGTTTTGATTTGCTCAGAGATGGGATTATAATGAAATTATGACCCGGTTCTGACTGGGTTAAACTGGGCCAGCAACTCTAAAGAGAGTCTCCCTGGGATTTCAATATCAGTCAAGAAATAGTTTAATCTGCTTGCCACATCACGTAGAAAGGCTTTTGAAGCACTGTCTCATATTTCCTAACACGTCAGTCCACGATCCATTGAGATCACGCTTAGTCACACCCCCTCATACACTGACAGGTTGAGCTCCCCTTCTGCTAAGGCGGAGTCTTAGGACCCTATAAATGAGTAATGACAAGAGACATCAGGGCTCTTCCGGGTCTGTGAACGCGTCACAGACCGGAAAGTCCAGCGCTGTAAATTGTATTATTTTCCTGCCTTTTTTAATATAATTGATAAAAATTAATTGACATTTCCTTGATTTATTGATTAGTATGAGTTGCCACTTCTGAGGGAGGTTCGAGCCGGGGGAAAGACGTGGGCTGGAGGTGGTTTCCGGGTCCGGTGGCCCACAGCCAGCTCCCGTCTTTAACATCTAAATTGTCCCTGAGTGTGAGTGAGAGAGTGAAAGACAAAAAATTGTACTGTCACTTTAAGAGCGCTTTGTTATGACGTCAGTACTGTGCGTCTGGCTCTCAATTAAGATGTAGGAAGAGAGAGGGTGTTCTAGATGGCTCTCTAGATGGATGCAATTTGGGAGCTCTGATAATCAACCAACGCATTTTCATATATTAAAGGGAGCTGTTTGCTACAAGGAGACATTCTGCAAACAAGGTACCATTAATAAGTGTATAGGCACTGTAGAGTGACATGAAGAGTACAGAAAGAAGAAAACACGAGTCCAGCAAACTATCCACCGCTAGCGTAGTTAACAAGCTAGCTGGTTCAACACACAGGAAGCTAGCTGGATCAAAAAGCTCGACTGCTGCCAACATGCGTGATTATATTGGCTCAGGTACTGATGAGGGGATGGAAACAGAGTTTCCACCTCTGCCCGTGACACCCTCCAAGCCTCCAGCAGAGAAACAAAGGAAGCTACAAGATACTGAGACAACGTCCTCTCAGATTTGGCATTGCTTAACTGCCTCATAAACAACAGGTTGGCTGCACTGGAAAAAATGATCAGTAGCAACACTATTGTTATTACTGAGGCAAAGGAGGCTATCAAGGACCATTCTAAACAAATAGAAGGTATCAAGGAATCACTGGAGTTGATCTGTGCAGATTTAAAAGACATGAAAAGCAAGGTGGAATACTGTAAGAAGCATATTAACGACTGCCAGAAAATCTGCAATGTGCATGAGAGTCGTATTTCCCAGCTGGAAGCTTCTACACGTCGCTGGAACCTGAGGCTCCTTGGCCTGGAGGAAAAAGAAAATCAGGATTTGAGGAAAGAGGTCATCAAAATCTGCCAAGCCTTGCTCCCAGATATGAAGGAGGAATCTTCAAGTTCAATCGACTTTGTGCATCTCCTTGGACCGAAGACAGTTAACACACGTTCCAGAGACATCATCATTCGCTTTGCCCTTTGCTCCTACCGTGATGCTGTTTGGCGTTCCGCTAAACATTCCTCCTTCCTGCGAGACAAGAAACTGAAATTTGCTGAAGATCTGTCTGCTGAGGATCAAGAAAGAAGGAGAAAGCTTTGGCACGCAGTGGAAAAAGCAAGAAATGAAAATAAGAAGGCCTTTTTTGTCAGGGGTCGTGCCTTTGTCAACGGAGCTGAAATTTTCCCTTAGCTGTAGACAATAATCAGATTCTCCTGCCAAATGATGCACTGCACCCAGTGACTCGTTATACTTGAAGTTAATTATGGCAAACTTTCTTCATGTTCATATGTTATTACAGGTTTGTATTTTTGGTACTTATATTTGATAACATTTCTATTAAGCTTAAAAGTCCTATTGTAGTGTTCTTACTTAGTAAGGTTTAAAAATGTTATTATAAATCTCAGGTCTCTCCCTAAAGTTAATTAGGTATTTTTTGTCGGTTGGTTGTGAGCCTCCACTTGCTTTGTTAGTGTAAGAAGACTTTAATATATCCTGTTTATTTCTTGATCTAACTCTTGTTTTTTTTTTTTGTTTGTTTATTTTTTTTTTATGTCCTTGTCTATTATCTCTTTCTTTTTTTTCTTTTTCCTTCCCTTGTCCTGTCCGGCATTGTGAAACTTAGAATTATTGTCTGAGTGTCAAAGTGATGCCCAACAGATTTACTTTCACAAGCAGAGCATTATGGCTGGCCTTAATGCTCCACTTGATATATAACTTAAATTTTATTAGAATTTGCTTTGGGCTTGTGTCAGATGTAATGGGCATGGGGAGGAAAAACAAAGAAGATAACAAAGCAGAAAAGTGAAAGAAGGCTTAAAAGGTAAAGAAGGAGATAAGAATAGAGGAGAGAGAGAGAGGGGGATAAAGAGAACACAAATCAACATCATTGAAGTCTGCCTCTAGACCTGCGGAAAGAGAAAAACAAACAAGACAAAACCGAGAAAACACAACAACAAACAACATATATAATAATACTTATAACATCATTAGAAAGTATTTTATACAGTACATGGTAATACAAGATATATTTAGTGGCCACCACAACCCAACTGAGTGTGTATCTGATAAACACCTGAATCTAAACACCTGTGTGAGCATGCTTGTCACTACTGTATAAGGTTTCTCCATAAAAATGTTCAGTAGTGGATGTGGGGACCCATAAACCTGTCCCCACTGGACACGATGGTAACACAGGGAAGACCGGAACCACAGACACACAGCGGCGCCCAAGCCCGGAACTCCGGGAGTCCCCCAACAGGGACACCCACACCCCCCATAGAGAAAAGCAAAGAGAAGCCCCGGGCGATCCCCAGCAACCACAATGCAGAAACCCCAGGAGGCTGTAGCGACAAGTCCACAGGACCCGCCGGCAACCTGCCCCTCCAGAGTGGATCCGGCCATGGACACCGAGTCCCGAGGTCATACCACCCCCCAACAGAGGCCCGACAGAGCCAGGGCACCCAGGCCCTAGCAGGCAGCCACTAGGGCGGGCCTGCACACACCCCACCACCCAGCCCCAGCTGCTGAGAGCCGCCAATGCACCGGCGGCAGGGGGGCCCACCACCGGAGGGGAGCACGACACACCAAATGGGGGACCAAAACTGATCCGAGAGAGGGGACCACCTAAAACCCAACCTGAGACATAAACAGGCTTCAAACATCTGCTACGCTCATGACATAAACCAACAGGCATGTTCCTGTTTTTGGTATTTTACATCACTTTATAATGTAGCTGTTTTTGTTTTTAATATATATAATTTTCAAATAATGTTTTTTATGATTGTCTACTGTTGTACTGATAAATATCTCTGGAGGGTAAACTATATCTTGGCTGCAAGTATCAAACTGTGAAATCCTTTGTTTTCTACAACTGATAGTGGTTGGTCATTAATTATGATGAAGTTTAGCAACTTCTCTGAAAACATTTGAGCTTCGTGGTTTCAGCGACGCCTTCTTCTTGTTCAATCCGAAGCAGGCAGCCTAATTTGGGGCAGCCGAGCTCAAGTCTGTCCCTCCTCAGAGATGGGCAGACTGAGCGGGGCAGATTGGACGTGGCTGACCGGGGTCGAGTTGGCCGCCCCGGGTTGAGCAGAGCAGTGCCCCACTGAAGACACGGCGCTCGAATGTCCATCGTAAAACTAACTTTAACGTGGTTTAATGTGGCGCTATGGCTCTGCAGACATTGCACGTTGCTGTCTTGTTTTGTGGTGTTTCTAGTGTAAACTACTTCCCATGCGCGTAGCCAGGGGGGGTTCGGGGGGTTCGAACGAACCGCCCACTTTACTCTATAGTGTCATTTTTTTATGTGTAGATGTGGATTGTATTGTATTTTTCAATTCATTAATTTCATTCATAAAAAACAATGTCTAACAAAGCAAAGTAAAAAGATGAGTTATTTTTGCAATTGAAGTAATGTTATTATTTGCGGGCTTAGTTTGCATTTATGTTGTTAGAGTTAAGGAGTGGTACTGTGCCTTTAAGAGGATGACGTCTTTCATTCTTCTTCGGTGTTTTTTTTTTTTTTTTGTGTATGTTCGGGCGGGACTCGGGAGTACCGAAGTGTTCGTTCGTGTCTGGGATGAGTTCTGAATAGAAGACTGGACACACACGCTATTCCCCTCTCAGTGTGTTGCTCTTTCTCCACTCACAACCGCCTATTTGGTAACACAGATTTACCTCACACAGCAGTGTTTTAACTAGCTAGCTAATTAGCTTGTTTACACATTTGAAGTTATGTGTACCACCGCCAATGAACCAATCAGAGTAGTCCTACAGGTCCACTTTTTCTTCAAACGAACCGCCCCTCATAAAATCCTGGCTACGCCTATGCTTCCAAACAGCGGACATGTTTAGATTTAAAGTTTGTTAGCTGTTAGCCACAGTGCTGCTAACTCAGCCCTCACATTGTAGCTGGCTGCAAACTATGAACTGGATTTCCTGAATGTGAGGCGGGTCTTATTACTCTTGATTCATGAGACACGCCGCCGTTCAGGAAATCCATTCCATAGTTTGAAGCCAACGTGCATCATGGATCGGAAAGATCAGCAGGAGGATCGGAAAATCCGATATGTAAATTATGCGTGTATCGGAGGCCGATACCGATACTGGATCAGATCGACCCCATCCCTAATCAACAACGATGCCCCACGGGACGAAATCAGAGGGGTTTATCCACCTCCACTATGGATTGGAGCCAATCAAAGAAGCCCAGAGAGATTGTTCTGATGTGGAGGTACAGGCTATCTCAAGACTGATGTAATCTAACAAAAGGTCTTTATACTGTTTAATACTAAGAGCATTTTTATTTTTCCAATTCATGAGTAGTTTTTTTGCTATACATAAGGCAGTAAAAATCATGTGAATTGACTTTGTCTCCAAGGTGACATCATCTAAGTGGCCCAATAAGCAAACTGACGGAGAGAGTGGAATATTACATCTCAGACACTTGATAAGTCTTCACATATCCGGCACCAAAACATCTGAACATGTGGACAGAACCAAAATGCGTGAATGTAATTGTCAGGAATATTGCCTGTACACTGTGAGCAAATATTAGATGATGCGAAACCCATCCTGAACATCCATTGACCTGTGTATTGTACTTTATGAAGGATTTTGTATTGTATTAATTGTAAATTGGGGTTTTTAATCATCTTAAAAGTTCTTAGACATATCTGAGACCAGAAGTTTTGGTCAAAGTTGACTGACAAGTCTCTCTCCCATTTTACAATGGGAAGGGATATTGATTCATCTATTTTAATGAATGGTAATGGTAAATGGACTGTACTTATATAGCGCCTTTCTATCTTATTTCAAGATACTCAAAGCGTTTTACATTACAATCTGTGCCTCATTTACCCATTTATACAGCACTCTAGTAGATCTCTATAAAGCTAATTGAACAAATCATTCTAAAGAGACTAATCAGTGCTTTATCACATTCATACACCAATGGGACACACATCAGAGGCTATGAGGGGTTCAGTGTCTTGCCCAGAGACACTTCGACATGTGACTGCTGGTGGATTTGAACCCCCAACTCTAGCATTGGAGGACGACTGCTCTAACCACTCAGCCACAGCCGCCCAACAATGAGTGTCCAGTAAACCTTAGATAGTAATTTGGGAGGGTTAAGATTTAGGAATTCTAATACACTTGTTGGTATTTCAATTCTAGCATTATTAAGGTTAAATTTATTTTTGGTTATAGATTTAATTTGTTGATATTCTAAAAATTTATTCTTATCAATCCCATATGGTGTTATTACGCTGTTAAATGGGATATAGTCTGCACCCTCACATATATGTTCCAAATATTTGATTCCTTTACACCTCCAACCTGGGAAGTTTATCATCTTATTCTGTTGTAGGATGTCAGGGTTGTTCCAGATGGGTGTACGTCTGCATGGAATTAGTGAAGACTCTGTCATTTTAAGAAACTCCCACCAAGCTGTCAGAGAGGAGCTGATATTGATGCTTTTAAAACATTCCTGTCGTTTTATGTTTGAGCTAATGAATGGAAGGTCCGAGATCATTATATTATTGCAAAGTGTCTGTTCTACATCTAGCCAGGATTCATCAAGGGGTGTGTGTTTTATCCATCTTGAGATGTATTTTAGCCTGTTGGCTAGAAAGTAATAATAGAAATTGGGTAGCTCTATTCCTCCATTATCTTTGGTCTTCTGTAGTGTTTTTAGTTTAATACGTTGGGGTTTATCTTTCCAGAGAAATTTAGAGATGGAGGAGTCCAGGGATCTAAACCAGTCAGATGATGGTTTATTTGGGATCACTGAGAATAGATAGTTTATTCTAGGTAAAACCATAATTTTTATTGAAGCAATCCTTCCCATGAGAGATAAGGGTAGAGATTTCCATCTAGCAAGATCATCCTCAATTTTCTTTAAAAGTGGGATGTGGTTTAGTTTTGTTAAATCTGCCAGTCTAGAAGAGACTTTGATACCAAAGTATGTAATATTCCCTGACTGCAGTTGTGTAGTAAGTGAATTGTTGAAATAGCAATTAATTGGTAGAACTGTAGATTTTATCCAGTTTATAGAGTAATCTGAAACTCTTGAAAAAGAGTTTATCAATCCAATAACCTGAGAGATGGAGGTTTGTGAATGCCGGAGGAAGAGCAACACATCATCAGCATATAGACTGATTTTGTGCTCTCTGTTCTTGCATTTTATGCCTTTAATATCTGTAGTTTACCTGATTGCTGCAGCTAGCGGTTCGATGAAAATAGCAAACAGAGAGGGGGAGAGTGGACATCCCTGCCTCATGCCCCTTTGCAGAAGAAAGCTAGCAGATATTTGATTATTTGTCCTAATGCATGCTGATGGGGGACTGTATAATATTTTTAACCAGTTTATGAAATAATTTCCAAAATCAAATTTATGCAAGGCTGCAAATAAAAATTTCCAGTTAACTCTATCAAAAGCTTTTTCTGCATCTAGAGAGAATATTGCAGTTTCAATGTTTTTACTGTAAGAATAATCTATTAAATTAAATAATCTGCCTGAATTTGTGGATGAATGCCTCCCTTGGCAATCCCTCCCTGGCAAACTTTCTTCATGTTCACATGTTATTACAGGTTTGTATTTTTGGTACTTATATTTGACAACATTCCCATTAAGCTTAAAAGTCCTATTGTAGTGTTCTTACTTAGTAAGGTTTAAAAATGTTATTATAAATCTCAGGTCTCTCCCTAAAGTTAATTAGGTATTTTTTGTCGGTTGGTTGTGAGCCTCCACTTGCTTTGTTAGTGTAAGAAGACTGTAATATTTCCTGTTTATTTCTTGTTCTAACTAGGGCATTAACAGAGTACTCGAGTAATCTACACATCGATTGCTAGGACATCTATCGAGGTTAAAAATGTAACATCGAGTAGCCGTAGTGACGTCATATTATGTGACTACCGTATGACCGTAGGGGGCGGTGTTGCACTGTTGAAGGTCACAGAGTATGGTGTAACACCGGGTCCAATCCACCGAACCAGAAACAGCTTCCTCTGATCTTGTTTCACAAACAAAAAGCAAAAAATATTAATCTCTAAACCTATTTAAAAAATCTATAAACACATTAATTTCTAAAACTAAACTTAATGCGCACCACAGCTTGTGGTGGTGCGGGGTTGTCGACCCCCGTCCAACTTCCAACTTCTGGAGAGCACAGTGGGGATCATATGTCTGGATGTCCCATGGGTCAGAGCGCTCAGCTGGTGTATCTATTCTCAAAAATCATTTTAATGGAAACATCATTTTTTCAGAATGTGATAGAGAAGGTCACTATGCAATACTTGCGGTGGAAACAGCAAATCGTTTGTTAATCTTGGTTAATATTTATGGTTTTAATTACCGCCAGGAGAATTCTGTCTTTATAGACAAAATGGAAGACCGCTTATTACATTATTTATCTAAATATCCAAATTCTTATGTTATCATTGGAGGAGACTTTAATATGGTCCCAAGCAATCTTAATGATAGGTGGCCCTCAAGACGAGACAGCAGCTCTCATAATAATTATTTAAACCTTTTCATTGAAAGACATGGTCTAATTGACACCTGGAGAAAAACGCAGCTTCAGAGGAAAATGAAGTAGTTCAAAAAAATCACTTTTCTGTCTTCAAAAACTGCTGATTCTCTAGATGTCAATGAAGAAGATGAACTTGATGAGATGCAGCTTAGGCTAGACAGGATTTATAAAAGGAAAGCTGAGGGAGCATATGTTAGATCACGTAGACAATGGCTTGAGAAAGGTGAGCAGAGCTCTGCATAGTTTTTAGTCTGGAGAGACAAGAGTCAAAAAATAACTCTGTAAGACAGTTAAGAATCCGTGGTTTGGTTGTAGAGGACCCGAGAGAAATTCTGCACAGATTTTTATAGCAACCTTTACACATTCAGATTCTGTCTGCAGTCAAACACCGATTTCTTTGACTCTCTCTCTGAAAACAGGAAACTAGTAGAAGATGATGCAGATTTTTGTGATAGACCATTAACTTTAAATGAAGTCATCAATGCTTTAGGCCGGTTAAAATTAAATAAATCACCAGGCTCAGACAGGCTCACGTCAGAATTCTACAGGAAGTTCTCTGTTAGTTTAGCTCCATTCTTCCTAGAAATTTTCATTGAGAGCATCCGTAAAGGACTGTTGCTTCCTACATTACATCAGGGTGTGATTACCTTAGTTCCTAAACCACAAAAAGACCCTCTCCTCCTAGACAACTGGCACCCGATCGCTTTATTAAACAACGATTACAAAGTTTTAGCAATAATTTTAGCCAATAGAATTAAATCTGTGATAGACCCTATCATTGACGAGTGTCAATCTGGTTTCATGAAAAACCACATCTCTAATAATATTAGGCTAATTTTAGATATTCTGGAATATTCTGAACTCATACAGGACAATAATTTTATTTTATTTTTAGACTTTCACAAAGCGTTTGACACCTTAGAGCATGAATTCATGCTTACTACACTGAATGTGGATATCCTAACTGGGCCTTCCTGAAAGCAGAGAAGAAACCCAAACAGGACTCCAGTCAGCCATCAGGTGAAAAGGAGGAACCCAGACCCAGACCAGTGGTCATTCCATATGTTGAGGGAGTATCAGAGAAACTGAGACGTTTATTTTCTAAACATAACGTCCCAGTGGCTTTTAAACCCCAAAATACATTACGGCAAAGACTGGTTCATCCCAAAGATCCAGTCCCCCGGCACAAACAGAGTAATGTTGTGTATGCTGTTCAGTGTCAGGAGGGCTGTGATCAGTCTTACATCGGGGAAACTAAACAGCCACTGGCCAAAAGGATGGCCCAGCACAGAAGAT